AGTAGGTTCTAAACCTGTCTGGCCTTGTTTAAGATTCAACTGAATGAGGTCCAGAACACGCTGCTCAAGTAAGTTCATTAAAACCCTTCTTAGCTTCCCTTTTATCCATCTGAAAATTGATTTCTTTTTAAACGGTTTAAGAAGATGCCTCAGGGCTTCAGAGCCTATATTAAAAAAATGAAATCTCTTCCTGTCTTGGAGCAACACAAATAGTCAATACAAAATTGACAAATGATCCTTTAAGGATATCCATTGAATCCATTATCTCCAGGCCCCTGTGTGAGACACTTCATCACAAACATCATCATCTTGATGATACATTGCAGAAGAAACAAGGTGAAAATCAAATAACTCCCCACCCCCAGTATTTATAGGCAGACTGCCACAATCATTGAAGTAAACCGGTATCGGCCAGAATAGGTTGGGATTGCTTTCCTTTCTTGAAAGTTAACTCAGTTATGTTTAACATATTTCAAATGGAAAGAAACAAACTGTTTTATGTTGAAAGCATTTGTCGTAAGGGATAGATGACATGTTATACCATACAACAAATCCTTTCAACGAAAACCAATTTGTAAAAGGCTTGCAAACTTTTTAACAGGCTATTGTTGTAGGAAATGCCTCCTCCATATCATCCTACCCAGTCACTCAGATCAGCTTAGTGATGCCCTCCTGGTTGTGCTGTCACCTGCAGAGGTCCATGTTGTGGCAACCAGAGGGAGCCTATTCAGTTGTGGCATCCCCTCTAGGGAATCATGTCCCATCTGAGTTGTGGGAGGTGTCCACATTGATGGGATTTTGACTCATTTCTTCTTTATCTAGCTTCCCAGTCCTTAATCTGTGTTAGGTTTCTATTGTTGTTGAATTATTATTATTATTACTACTACTACTACTACTAAAATTTCTATACTGCCCTTCATCCGAGGATCACAGGTCGTTTACAATATAAAAACAAAAAAATGCACACCATAGTGACAAACAAACAAATAACCCTAAAGGTAAAGGGACCCCTGGCTATTTGGTACAGTCGCGTACGACTCTGTGGTTGTGGCGCTCATCTCGCTTTACTGGCCGAGGGAGCCAGCGTACAGCTTCTGGGTTTTGTGGCCAGCATGACTAAGCCACTTCTGGCGAACCAGAGCAGCGCACGGAAACGCCGTTTACCTTCCTGCTGGAGCGGTACCTATTTGTCTACTTGCACTGCGTGCTTTCGAACTGCTAGGTTGCCAGGAGCAGGGACCGAGCAATGGGAGCTCACCCCGTTGCGGAGATTCGAACCGCTGATCTTCTGATTGGCAAGTGCTAGGCTCTGTGGTTTAACCCACAGTGCCACCCGTGCCCCACAAAAAGCACTTAAAAGGCCACAGATTGTTTAATTAGCCAGATGCCTAGAAGAAGAGGAATATTTTTGTTTGGCACCTAAAGATATGTAATAAAGGCACCAGGTGAGCCTGTGGGGAAAGCATTAAACAAGGGGAGCCACCCTCCAAAAAGGCCTATTATTGTATTGCGACTCTCCAGACCTCTTGTAGAGAAGGCATATAAAGAAGGGCCCCATGATTGCAGGGTCTAGTTTTATTCTAAGTGTTACATTGTGCTATACATCACTTTCTGTTTTTTAGTGGTATAAAAATATTTTTAATGAATCATTTAATTTTATTTTTCAAACACATCTCCTTCTGGTGTTGTTTAACAGATAACATGGCTTCAGTGAGAGAGTAACTCATGTGCAATCTCAAGAGTTCATAGAAAACAGTTTGCAGAGAAGAGGACTAGTTGTCAAAGCGAACAGGAACCCAGGGATAGGGTGGCATCAAGCCTTGGAATTCCTAGGAATCTAGAAAACAGGGAATGAAGGCAAACTCATCAGGACCCGTGATTATGGGGTCTTGTTCCTATCTGAGTCAATTCCAATAGACTTAGTCTGCAGTTTTTATACATTATCAGGCCTGGCCCAGGGTTCACACATCCTTGCCTTGGAGCGAGATTGGCTGGCACCAGCTGCTGAGCAACTTCATATCTGTTCTCCTCTTGAATAAGGATTGGCTCTGTCTTCTGAGTTGACTAGCACAAACCTGTTTGGGAAAGAGAGGGAAGGAACTGGTCAAATTATGCAAGTGATTGCTTAACAGCAACCACAGATTGGATGGCTTTAAAAGTGGGTTAGACAACTTCATGGTTTAGAAGGCTATGTTCTACCTCCACTGTCAGAGGCAGTATGGTCCTGTATACCAATTGATGGATATCACAAGTGGGTTCAGTGCTTTTTTGCTCAAATCTTGCTTTCAGACTTCCAAAAGGTTGGCCACTGTGAGAACAGGATGCTGAACTAGACTGGTCATAGGCCTGGTCTGGCAGGGCTTTTCATATATTCTTATGTTCTTAACTATTCAGTTAATTTCTTCGATTTTTCTCAAAGATTTTACTCTTAAGTCCCTTTTTACATTGTTCATATTATCAGTCATTTTCAGTACAATACGAATATCACTCAGGAGAAAAGATGTCAGGGTTGTTGTTTTTAGAAGCAAAACTACATGAATGTTGACGAACGTCTGGGGAACTAGTCAAACCCACTCCATTTTGAAACATTTCTCGACCCTTTATTTGTTCATTTTTCTATTTATTTACTTTATTCAAAGACAACTTTCCCAATATAAATCTTCGATTTTGTTAAATCTGTGAACAGTTCATTTGCCTCTCGGGTTGCATTTTGAGTTTGTACAGCTGCTTTCTGCCTTGGGCCACAGTGAGTCTGACAAAAATTATCAGTTTCATCGGGTTGCTACTTGGAAGTTCAGAAGCAAATATTAAACCAATTCAGACATGTGTGAGAGACTGACCTTCTGGATAGGAGGATGAGGTGCATCAGCAAGCACAGCGGTTGGGTGGTAGGGATAATGGCAGGAAGAAGCATCAACTTGCATTTTAAACTACCTTCTCCTGTATAGTGGAAATAGTGGACCTAGAAAGGAGAAGAAAACCTTGTGCGGTCTCTAAAGGTGACATAAAAGTAACAGTTACAGATAGGTAGCCGTGTTGGTCTGCCATAGTCAAAACAAAAAAAAATTCCTTCCAGTAGCACCTTAAAGACCAACTAAGTTAGTTCTTGGTATGAGCTTTCGTGTGCATGCACACTTCTTCAGATACGTTATCTGAAGAAGTGTGCATGCACATGAAAGCTCATACCAAGAACTAACTTAGTTGGTCTTTAAGGTGCTACTGGAAGGAATTTTTTTTGTTTTGATAAAAGTAACAGGCATTTGTTCTAATGAAAAACATTGGTAAGAATAGTATTGACATCCACATCCCATTTTATTGACATTCTTTAGAGCTTGGATCACTAGTGTCTGCTTGCTTTGATATATGACTAATAATGATGAGAACAACTAACCTGTTGCCTAATGGGGGCTGTCCAAAGTCATGACCCATGTGATCCTGCTGAATGTTTTCTGCCTTTGAGACAAGAGAAGTCTAGTTCTAAGTGGTCAGTTTACTTTGTAAATGGGAAAAGAAATAAAGTCCTAAAATTAGGGTCTTTGGCCACTTTAATATGTAATCTGAATGGGCTGTTCATGAAAGTCAGTGGAAGATCAGTGATTTCACAGAGTGAAAATAGATGGTTTAAAAATACAAATTACTAAATTGTATCCAGATTTAATAGGACTTGACTCATGCTGAGTTGCATTTGTCTGTGCCATGTTGTTGTTCACGTAAAATTAGATAAATTGATTAATGTTCAGGGTAGATCAGCAACATAAAGAATACAGAATGTGATATAAATTGGAAACATGTATGGCGTTTCTCTGAACATCAGCAAGAGATACCACTAGGCTTAAAATCTTGTATGGTGGAACTGAGAGTGGTCCTCTGTCCAAAGCTTTTAATGTCTACTCTAGCAACCTTGCTGGCTCCACCTTGATTGACATTCACTCACAGAAGGTCATTATGTATTTTATTTTAAAAATAAATCAAATGGGACACTAGAGGGGACAACCAATATCAAATTGCTGCTCATCCGGGAATCTGGATGGCTTAGGCTGCAATCCAAAACCCATTTGCCCCTCCTCCAAGCCCTGCCAGTCCTTGCTGACTTCCACCCATGGAACAAAGCCAACATCATTCTGCCAGCACAGAGATGCTGGCATTGCTTTGTGCTGGCAAAGTGATACTTGCATCACTCCATGGGTGGAAATCAGCATGGAACTCCCTGTTCCATCTGCAAAGTGGGTGGGTGGGCAGAAAGGCCAGTGGCCAGCTGATGGAAAACCTCAAAATGAGGCATTCCAGTGACAGGAGCTAAGCTAGCCCAGGATATGTTGGATTCAAAACCTGCTCCTTTGCCTCCACTTGACAGGAAGTGGAAATGATGGATGAAAAATGAAAGGCTAATAGCATCATAAGTAAAATGAAATGCTGAAATGGTTCTCTTCTGATTTAGAATTGCAACCCTGATGTCTTTCACACGTGGGGGAGGAACACAACCCCAAGAATGAAAACATGAAATATTCAGAATATTAGAATCAAAAGAAAGTGATTACTAGATTTCACATGCTTAGATTATTTTGGTTTAGAGCCAAATACCACAAAAATATTAGCCCTGAAGGTTTATGTTGCAATAAGTTTTAAATAGAAGAAAATTATGTGTATGGGTAAAAGTACTTCTAATGGGCATGCCTTCTTCATTCAGCATCACTTTCAAAGATGTTTTAACAAACTATTGAAATGGAAATGAATTCCGTATTGCCCTGTTTTCATTGTAAATATCTGAGGAGACAAGTCCTCTCATTAATATTAAGTTCAAAATTGATTCAAAAATTCACATTGATAACATATCACTGTGTCATGTTCATTGCCATAATATTGTTTTCACCATGAAATGTTGCTATCGCTGAGCTTGATTAATGCAAAAACGTGGATTCAAGAAATTCCAGTGACCAAGGTCAGTGACTCCTGGTGACTTAAAGATGCTGACTGCAAATTGACTTTTCTCTCATTTTCAGAATTGGGAGGCTTTTTGATGGCACAGAGCCAATTGTTTTGGACAGCCTGAAGCAGCACTACTTCATTGACAGAGATGGCCAAATGTTCAGATATATCCTGAATTTTCTACGAACATCAAAGCTCCTCATACCAGATGATTTCAAGGTGAAATTTTATGCATCGTCATCATCGTATTTGAAATGTTTAGAGAGGAGGTAGAGTAATCAGAACTGCCATGTGCCGGGAGCAAGGCTTGTGGGTTGCATTGATGGATGCTGGCAAATAATAGATCTCTTAAATGAATATTTGAAAATATGGAGCATACAGTTTAACAAGTGAATTATAAAACTTATTTCATATCATGGGAGGAGTCTATGCATGTGAAGCATGCTTCCACCTGACATTTCCTGAACACATGAACAGGGAGGCAGTGCCAATGAATAAAGGAAAATGTGAGTTGAACCACCAGACACTCTTAAACTGTAGACATCCATACCATTGAATGTCCCCCCATGCAGTTTGGTTGCCATTTGTATAATAGAGGCTTAACCTATGATCATAAGCCACCATAAGGGTAAGATTGTCAGCTGTACTTTGATTGAAGACGCTATCTTTCCATTTTGAGTCCCTGAGAGGCACGTGGAAGGTACGTCCATAAACAGCTACCAGTCTAATAGTTCAATGGACCCTCCAAATGGAGAACAATGTGCCCCTGAATACCAGCTGCCAGTGGGCAGCAGCAGGGAAGGGTCACTGCCTTTATGCCAGGGGTGGGGCACATTCCCACCCAACCCACAGTTTCCCTTCCCCCAGCAGCATGGCTGCTGTTGGGAACAAGATGGACTGTTGTCTAATCCAACAGGACTCTTAACATTCATAGGAATGCAGTCAAAACCTTAGTCACTCAACCAGTTTATTGAGCATTCATCTTTATTCATTTGTAGAAGGTTTGCAAAGAGGTTAGATAATGGCCCCTGTTGATTGAGTATTCATTCTGATTTGTTCAGAGCTTGTGTATCGTGCTAAGTAATTGTTGTCCCTCACTTCCCTTACTTGTAAAAAGTTCAGATTGTTTTTTGGAAGCAGGTTGGTTGTGCAAGCGCACCAGATCCACTTTAACTGCACAACCTACACAGTTGAATCCTAATCACAGAATGCAGCAACAGCCTCAGAGCAGTCCCCATGCAGAATCTTGACTTGAACCAGATAATTGTAGGTTATTCATACAAATGATCTACTTGAATGAGCAATGTAACCTGTGATCAAGGAGCTCATGATTTATTTATTTTTATTTGCTGTATTTGTACTCAAGTTTCCTTCCAGGAGATCAAGGTGGTATGCATGTTCTCTTCTCTCTTTCTCTTCCCTGTTTATCCTCAAAATAATCCTGTGATGTAGGCTTGACTAAGGGAGAATAACTGGTCCAAGTCACCCAGTCAGCTTCACAACTAAGTGGAGCTTTGAACCTGGGTTTCCCCAGTCAGTCCCACTACTTTTCTGTAGGACTTACTTGAAGTTAAGTGTATATTTTATTTAGGATCACAGTTCTGAATAATGAAATTATCCAGTACAAGGATGCAGCCTGTTTAAACTAAGATAGATAGATGATAGATAGATAGATGATAGATAGATAGATAGATAGATAGATAGATAGATGATAGATAGATAGATAGATAGATAGATAGATAGATAGATAGATAGATAGATAGTGAAAATGTGGGTCATATCAGCAAAAATAATACACTTCCATATGCATGCAGAAAAACTTTTTTAAAACACAAGTTTAAATGAGCAACTTTAGTTTAATTCATAAAACCTATTCTTACTTTAAACAGCTGGCTTTTAAAACTATACACCTCTGTGTGCCATCATAATTAATATTTTCTTGCCCTCCCTTTTTTAATCCACACCTTAATATGATATGCCCTAACATGGCATTTGTTTGCATTCAGATGGGTGGTTTTTTTCTCTCTCATTCAGATTTGATGGGGGAGGAACCGTGAAAAGAGGTGAAGAATTTCAAGATACTGTGTAATTGTTTTATCCCTCTTGCTTGAGGGGCTGTATTTTCACAAAAAAAGGTTTTGTGTGAGCACTCTTAAAAACCCAGCCTCAGGTTATTGGAAACATCTGGCCCCACTTATCTGCTCAGTAGGAAAATCAAAATGTGTTTGACTGATGAAATGAGCTCTAGCTCCAGCCACAGAGCTAAACTGCAGTCTTTACAAAACCCCATAGTACCAACTTGCCCTTCGCAAGCATTCTTAGGGCACACCACTCTTTAAATGGCGCTGTCTAAAAATAGCCTTTAAGCGCATATGTCCACATGAGACTCAGCATCTGCCTCTGCACTGTCCCTAATGGTTTTCTTTCCTGAAGGTAGGTCAGTCATTTAAAAAAGGGGGGACGACGTTGCCCTTCTTGTTCACTGTTCATATTTGTTTCCAGTGTAGGTAAAATAGATTTAAAACCTAGCCACTTCGAATTGTGATGATGTCACTGTCCATTCTGTTTTGATACATAATATAACCGAGTCCAGTTTTGAAGAGACATTCAAGGTCACCTAGTCCAAACTTGTGCCATGGGCAGGATTCTTTAGACAGAAGGTATATCTGACACATTTTTTCCTCTTGGAAGAAGTCTAGAGAACAAGATCTTATCACTTTTTGTGAGCAGCATTTTCCACATACAAGCACTTCTTACTCTCCAAGCCTGAACCAGCTCTTGCTACAGCTGGAACCAGTTGCTTACCAGCTAGTCTTCCTCTCTATGGGAGTATGTTCCTCTGCTATTTGAAAAATTCTTATATCCCACCCAGACCTTGATCTTCCCTTTCTCAGTTTAACTTACATAATTGTAATATGAATTTTCAATTCCTGTTTTTTTCCTTGCTGATTTTGATTTCTCTCTAGCTTTTGCTGGAATTTTTAAACTGGACATTATGATCCTGGTGAGGCATGCTTTGTGGGTTTTATATGTCATGGGCCACTTCAGAACTTTGGGTGTATCTTAAATACTTTTGGGGTGGGGTCCAGACAGCTGCAGGCCATACCTCTCTGATCCTCCATCTACCTTGCAGGTACTTGGTGGCCAGGCTAGCTAGTCATTTCCCTGACTCTTACAATGTTTTAGAAATGTGCTGGTTTGTTTTCTGGTTGGGACAGGGGGCGTGTTACTGTTTCATCTGGTATAGTAGACTTTTAGCTTCATTGTTTTGCATAAACACAACCAAACACACATTTACTGTTTGTTATCTTTTTTGTAAACAGCATAGTTTTTATGGCATATATTTATGTTTTCAAATGTAAGCTTCTTGGAGACTTTTTAGGTAACTAATAAATCCTAATAATAATTCTGGTATTAAGCGTTATATACAAACATGAAAACAGGACCAAACATCAAAACTAATGGAGAAGATATTTGGGGATGTGGCCTGTTATCTACACGTATCAGGTTTGCCATAATCTGTTTTATCCCAGAATGTACATTATTTCTGGCTATTGCATCTAGACTTGGGCGGGGGGGGGTATTGTTTTTGTTTGTTATTATGCTTTTTTGTTTTTATATTATAAACCACCCTGTGATCTTTGGATGGAGGGTGGTAAAGAAATTTAAAGGGGAAAAAATGTTTCTAGAGTTGCCTAGCCTCATCCAGATGTGTGTATGACTCGGGATGCCTCATACCATTTACAATGAGGTCAAAATGCATTTTTTTCCTTTTTTAAAAAACAACACAAAAAGGTCATATTGATGACCTTTACTGCTTAGTTCAGAGGTTAGCCAGATATTCAGCACTTGGAAATATCTCATATTCTGAAGAAAATATTGAATCTTATTAATATTATTTCTGTATTTGTACATACACAGTACTTTGTCAAAGCACATATGAGCCAAAGTATAAACTTTAAAGCCACAAATATAGTTAATTCAAAACACACACACACCAATGTAATTATTATATGTAGTACAATAAAATGTAGTAAAATACATCTTCCTAGCAGTGGGTTCAGAATAGAGATTAGTTTGACACCAACCATTTAAATATTAGTCTTTTGGTGCAGATTAAATATGAGTCTTTGGTTGCAGTAATATTCCCACTTACCTGGGAATAGGCCCCATTGAACTTGGTGGCACCTACTTCTGAGTAGACATGAATAGGATTGCATTATAATAATGTAACTTTGAATGTTATATGGAACCATGTCTAAATGTTCACAAAACTAATAATTATGTTCCCTTTATCCATCAAGACAGTTGTCATATCAAAGGGAATGTAGTCCCCCCCTTTTTTAACAAATTGATGTTATGTGTCCTAAATTACTGCATTTCCATTTTGATGCTTTCAAACACCAGTCTTTACAACCTTCCCTACTATATTAACTATATTTCTGTAACAAATATCGTATTCCTTCTTAGATGGTCTGGTTTAGAGGCCAGTCTGTGTTCAGCACCAGCTTTCTCTTCTTTGCATTTATTTTCTACTGTACTGTACTGGGAACTAGCATGGCAATTGCCCTGCGTCTAGTCCCCATCCTCAGACTTAGTTGTATTCTGATGTCACGTGTGCTTTCCTCAAACTTGCTCAGCATCAGTTGTCATTGGCAGGGGCAACAAAATGTGTAAGAATATAGGAGGCTGCCCTATTATGAATCACGACAGGCTTAGTCTATCTAGTTCAGTACTGTCAGTACAGCCTTACTTAGAGATGCAAGGGACACAGGTGGCACTGTGGTCTAAACAACTGAGCCTCTTGGGCTTGCTGATCAGAAGGCTGGCTGTTCAAATCCCCGTGATGGGGTGAGCGTCCGTTCCTCTGTCCCAGCTCCTGCCAACCTAGCAGTTCGAAAGCACACCAATGCAAGTAGATAAATAGGTACCACTGCGGCGGGAAGGTAAACGGCGTTTCCATGCATTCTGGTTTCCATCATGGTGTCCTGTTGCACCAGAAGCAGTTTAGTCATGCTGGCCACATGACCCAGAAGGCTGTCTGTGGGCAAACAGTGGCTCCCTCAGCCTGAAAGCAAGATGAGTGCCTCAACCCCATAGTCGCCTTTGACTGGACTTAACCGTCCTGGGGTCCTTTACCTTTACCTTTGCAGGGAATTGAGCCTGGGATCTTATGCAGGCAAACAATGTACGCTACAAATGAGCCATGTCCTCCCACTCCCCAATCCCAACAAACAGTATGATGACTGCCTGGACATGGGTAAGCTTACTACTCATATGGGAGCAGAAAAAGATAATGCAAGGCAGAAGCATCCCTATTAATTGTTGTGTGTATTTCTTCCATACGACCTTCTTAGTTGGGGAAGGTGAGCAGTGCTGAAGTGAATTCAATATTGAGTTTATTTTCTTATATACTGTAGATGTAGGATGAGATCCAATGTTGCACTGGTAGGCATGTCCCCCCTGCAGTCTCTCTGCTCCCCAACCTTCCAATAGCAGTTTTTGGGTGGCAAACCAGAAAGAGGCTGCAGTGGAAAGGAAATGATGAGGAAGTCTGTTCCACAAGCAAGTTGACAATGTTGGATTGCCATTCGTACCCTATAGCGGCATGTATGTTTCTCGTTGGCAATGAAAATTATGTGTCTTTCAGGATTACAGCTTGTTGTATGAAGAAGCAAAGTATTTTCAGCTTCAGCCCATGCTAGGGGAGATGGAAAGGTGGAAACAGGATCGGGAGACATGCCGGTTTTCAAAATCCTGCGAGTGTTTGGTTGTGCGAGTTGCTCCGGATCTTGGAGAGAGGATTACCTTGAGCGGCGACAAGTCTTTGATAGAAGAGGTTTTCCCAGAAATTGGTGATGTGATGTGCAATTCAGTCAATGCAGGTTGGAATCACGACTCAACACATGTCATCAGATTTCCTTTAAATGGCTATTGTCATCTCAATTCAGTTCAGGTATGTAGACAACAGTACATCAGTTTTAGGGCAAGCTGGTAAATATGTGAACCAAAGTGAGGTTTAAACAAACAAACAAACAAAAACATTGAAAGTAAATCAATCCAAGCCCTTCCTTAGAGGATCAGTTGCATTCTTTTTCTTAATATTTATTAAATTCTTATTCTTTATTAAATTTGTATACCGTCCTTCATTTGTAGATCTCAAGGCATTTCACAACATAAAAATACAATATAAAAACCACAAAATATGTAATAAAAATAAGAACAAAAACAAGCCAATGATTCCCCCTCCCACAACACATTTTATTTGATACACTGGGTCTAATGGCTTGTGCTGAACCTATTCTGTAGATAATGGAGCATGCAGATGCTTCTGAGAACAAGGCAGTTTCCATGTTCTCAGCAGCAGCTGCATATGACATGATGAGAAGAGCCACGTACTGTCACTTAAATGAATTGGGTTAGTGAAAAAATATGTTGCAGAACTCATCCTGAAAGGTATTGTTGAATATCTATGGGAGAAGATATTCCATTTATGGAGCAACCTGTGGTGGCTTATGAGATTTCTCTCCACTCCATGGTATCATGTTTTAGGAGTTATTTTCAACAATCGTTGCGGGTTCAGGAACATTTTATTTAGCTGCCAGAATTTAAAAACATCTGAATATTCTACATGATTGACACAATACCTGTCTTTATTAGATCAATCAACTAGTACATCTACCTCTTTATCCTACACTGCTTTACCCTAACTTTCTTAGTGCGGGGAAACAGTTGAAGTTTGAATATTATGCCTTATCAGTCTACATACACACACAGTCACCTGCCCCAGATCATTTTAACTTTGGCTTCTAAGCACTGAGCCAAATAAAGAAGTTCAGAGATCACAGAAGTACTAGAGGATCGGAGATTATGAGCACGTTTATATCCTAACTTCCATCATGAAGTGTTCCTAAATGGTCTCCCTTCCTAGATGGTATCCCATCCATACTCAAACCACCTTAGCTTCAGCAATATGGGTCCACCGTGTACCCTCAGAACATGCTCCTGGAGTTCCAAAAGCATGGAGCATTTATCAGGAAAACCTTTGTGTGCCCATGTCATAGGCCTATAGAACAATCAAGAGGATGCTTACATTAATCTTAGTGAGCACAATAAGTGAGGGGATTTAGTTAGTTAGTTAGTTAGTTAGTTAGTTAGTTAGTTTTCCAGAGAGAGTTTGAAAGGGAGCCTAGGTGTTAATGGAGTTGTACTCCTACACCACAATCATCTGCATGTCTACTCAGGAGTAAGCCCCATTGAGTTAAAGGCACTTTCTCATCAGGTGAGCAGTAAGTCAGATCAAAGGCAACAGTCTTGAAAGCGGACTTTCCATGTACTTCCTTCCAATTTAGATATTTCCACACAGATGTTGGGTGTGTCTAATCTCTCTGTACATGTTAATGGACTTGGCATAGGGCCCTACAGATATCCTTTAAATTGTGCATTCATGAAAAGTTATTCTCACAATAGTATTGTAGTGATTATAGGCAACTTCACTTTCGATTCCATTTGCTTCTGCAAAGGTTTTGAGGCAAACATACTACTTAGTTTCCAGCAGTTGCATAGCCCATAGTTTGCCACTGAAATCCTGTAACTTTCCATACCACAAAAGTTTGCAAGGGGAAGGGGGTTGTCCTGCTTTTGTTGTGCCATAGCAGAAGTGTCTTTCCAGGTGGCAAAAATGTAGCATGTGTGGGTGTTCCAGTATAAATCCACCACTAATGCACTATTATTGCATCCATGACCTGTTGGAGTACCCAAAATAAAGCCCAGAATCAAAGGCTCATAAGACACTGTACCTCTATCAGTTCACTTGTTATTGTCATCACCGCTGACATCAACTGGTGGCCAGTTGGCCATGGATTGGGAGAAATGGTTCTCATGCCAAAGATTGGCCCATGGGCTGGAAGTTTCTCACTTCCGCACTGAAATCATGCAAAGGTGAATGGAATGAAGAGGCTGCAATTTCAGTATTCATTTAGCTACAGTAGCTGCTGTTAATGTCTTGAAATCTACCAGTAGTTATCATTGAGGAGGGAGTTTATGTTGCATAAATCTAAAGTAGTTAAGCATATAATAAAAAAGTACATGAAAACAGATTTTGTTTTTCACATTTACACTGCTGCTGTTGTTGTTTTTAATCTTTTGTTCTTACCCAGTCTTTTCCTCATCCTATTTTGTAGGTACTTGAGAGGTTGCAACAAAGAGGCTTTGAAATTGTTGGCTCCTGTGGAGGAGGGGTGGACTCTTCCCAGTTCAGTGAATATGTACTTAGGCGAGAACTCAGAAGGACATCTCGTTCATCCTCTGTCATTCGAATAAAGCAAGAGCCTCTGGACTAAGGACATTTTTTTTCTTATGCGACAACAAAAAAGGGGACCTTTTTCCATGGGCAGTCGGAACACCAAAAGAGCTCTGGAATGAAACATTGAATAAAGACACATTTATATCAAATATAGAGACCATACCTGTATTGATACAGGAGCATTTGGATTAGTAATAATAACCTCAAGGTGTAAAATATGTATATGTAAAAAGTTAGAAATGCAAAAAGAAAGAAAAACCCCTTAAAATAGTAGGTGAGATTGGTGCTGTGAGGGCCATTAAGTGTCCTAGGCCATAGCCAGGCCTGATTTACAATAAAGAAGCCATTGCCAGAAGGGGAGGCTCACAGCTCCCTTCCATTTTCCATTGCCAAATGGTGATCTGTTTTTCAGCATGTACATCCTGAATCAAGTTTGCAGGTGTTTGTGTTAGAGATGACTGGGCACAACTCTAGAAAGCATCCATCCATTACACAACAGAGGTCATGAACAGAAAGTCACACACTTCTGTCCGTCTGACAGATGTGAACCATCTTATTTTTTTATCAGATGGAGTCAGAATTTATTCCTACATGGCAGAGTTGCTCTGGTTTGACTCCAGTGCATTCATTATTATTATTTTTTAGTCAAATGAAGTACACTAAATTCTGCTAATATTCTGATTTAAGTCAACAATAGTAAAGAAAAAATGAAAAATGTTTAAAAATCAAGATGAGCATTTGCTTTTAACTTGCTCTATTATGCATCTGATACATTCATTGGACAGTTACAGATAGGTAGCCGTGTTGGTCTGCCATAGTCAAAACACAAAAATTCCTTCCAGTAGCACCTTAAAGACCAGTGTATCTGAAGAAGTGTGCATGCACACGAAAGCTCATACCAAGAACTAACTTAGTTGGTCTTTAAGGTGCTACTGGAAGGAATTTTTTTGTTTATTCATTGGACAGTAAGTGGTGCTGAATTCTGTGCACAAACAACAATATGAAGGCACAAATACGTTACTTAAAGAAAGGCAATGTGCTTTATCTTTAGTTCATAGTGGCAAACGGTTCTGATGCACCTCAGGGTGCTTCTTTCTCTCCATCATTGAGACAAGTGACCTAATGTTGGTTAGTACGATCTTTTCAGTCCTGGGCAATTATGTTGTAAAGTCATTAAATGCAGGCCTGTACGACTGCTTTTACGTCTATCTAATGCTAACATCCCTGTGTAGTATAATTTCATCACTGCCCATAAAGTCACAAGTATTGTTTTCCTTTCTGAGTAGTATAATTCTGCACAGTTTTGCCGAAGGTGTTGTTTTAAGGAGAAGGGCAGGCCCTCCAGCCACTGAGTAACAATACAGGCAAGTCCCCACATATGTTTGTTTGACTTGCATGTGACTGTGTATACGTGCAGCGCCAAGAAATAATGATGGGAGAGACCTGGAAAGTCAAGGGTAGACAGAAAGTAGATCTGGATCTACTAGCAGATCTGTGGATGATTTGCTGTGATTTCTGACTCCCCAAAGCAACAAACAAATGACCCACCTCTGCCCCATATAATACTATAATGATGAAAACTTAGACTAACCAAGAATGTTTTTTTTGTGTGTGGAAGGACTGTGCACAACATCCAGTTCTGGCACTTCTGGAATCAGAATTATTTAATCTCAAATTTATATCTTTTGCAGCAGACTCTGGCTGGTAGATCCTGAAGTCTGCCTACCACTGATCAAAAGGAGCAATTGCAAAGCCAGTTGAGGGGCCACAGGAAATGGTATGAATACTGCTCCGTTGGTGGAGCACGAGATCCACTGGCAGGACAAAACTCACAAAATACAGAGAACTGCAGACAAAATGATCCTTAATACAAAACCTAGTGACCAAAATCAGATAAGGAGAAGCCTGTATTTTTTAAAAAGGACCAAAAACACAGTAAAAATAACTATCAGATAACTAACTACAGTGGTACCTCGCAAGACGAATGCCTCGCAAGACAAAAAACTCACTAGACAAAAGAGTTTTTTGTTTTTTGAGCTGCTTCGCAAGACGATTTTCCCTATGGGCTTGCTTCGCAAGACGGAAACGTCTTGCAAGTTTGTTTCCTTTTTCTTAACACCGTTAATACAGTTGCGACTTGACTTCGAGGAGCAACTCATAGAACGCGGTGTGGTAGCCTTTTTTGAGGTTTTTAAAGACTTTGGTGATTTTTGAAGCTTTTCCAAAACTTTCCCGACACCGTGCTTCGCAAGACGAAAAAAATCGCAAGACGACAAAACTCGCGGAACGAATTAATTTCGTCTTGCGAGGCACCACTGTACAATAGTAAGTTCATAATATCCCATCATAAGCCAAACGCACTTTGACACAGAGGTCTTAATCAATATAGAAAGAAACATAGTGCAACCATTCTGTAGGCTTTAGCTCTTGACTTTGGCTTCAAATCTCTTTTATTAACAACCAACCAAATTATTTGTCATCTCTGTGTAAACTTTCCCAGGATACAACCATACAGATTTACCTTCTTTCTACAGATTCAAAGTGGTATTTTTCGAGGTCACAAGATGTGACAGTTAAAAAGAAAGTTAAAGAGAGACTATAATTGGTTCTCATGCTGGCTTCTATATGTTGGTTATTTTATTGCATAGTACTGAATGTTTTGATTTTTTTTCTTTAATGCTCGGGGGGGGGGAGCCATTTTAAAAGGGTGGGGGAGGATTTCATTCTCACCTAGAGCTAAACAAGCAAAGCCTCTAGGAATCATTTTTCATGATTTCCAGAGGAGTAGTGAAAACAACACAAAGTGTCATGGCACCTTAAGAACATAGAGAGAGCCTGCTGGACCACACCAATGACCTGTGTAGTCCACCATCTTGTTCTTACAATGACCAGCCAGATGCCTGTAGGAAGCCTGCAAACTGGACATGAGCAACAGCACTTTGCCCACCAGCGATTCCCAGCGACTGGTATTTAGAAGCATACTGCCTCTTGACAGAGGAGGTAGAACACAGACAAATTCATGGCCACTAGCCCCAATGGCTAAGCCTCATTTGAAACCAGCCAAGCTGGTGGCCATCACTGCCTCCCATGGGAGTCAGTTTCATATTTTATCTTTTCTTATATCTGTTCTGAACCTTCCAAAATTCAGATACATGTTCATGAGTTTTAATGTTATGAGAGACGGAGAAAAACTTTTACCTACCCATTTTCTCCATGTTATACATAATTTTGTAAACTTTATCATGTCACTTCTTACTGGTCTTTTCTCTAATTAAAGTTCCAAACTCTGCAACCTTTCCATGTAGCAGGGGTTGCTCTCATTTTGGTCACCACTTTCTGAAGCTTTTTGAGCGCCACAATATCCTTTTTGAAGTGGGCTAACCAGAACGGTACACAGTATTCCAAATGCTGTTGCACTATCGATTTGTATAACAGCATTATGATATCAGCAGATTTATTTTCCTTTCCTTTCCTAATGATCCCTAGCATGGAATTTGCGATTTTCACAGGTGCTATTGACATCTTCCATTAGCTACAACCCCAAAGTCTCATTCACCTCCAGTTCAGATTTTTTGCTCAGATAAACATCACTTTAAAGACTAACACCATTATTTTACGATATGTACTATATCTTTATTGTCATTGTCCCATGCAGAACAATGAAATTGAAAAACTACATAAAACATTCAAAAACCCCTAAAAACTCTGAAATCCCATTTTAAAATGCACTATTTTGGCATACTCTTTGATGGACTATAGTCTTGTGCCATAATAAATGTGTTAATCGTCAAGGTGCCCCAATATGCTTCATTGTCTGTTCCAGTGTAGCCTGATTATGTCAAGGCATTGGCTATCCTGGTGAACAACAATTTGGTTGGTTGTTACTCAAGGGGGTTTGCTTCTCCTTTGAAGGTCTTGCTCTCCTTTGAGGTCTCATATACTATAAAGCCAATTGAATTGTTCTGCTTTCTTTGTTATATTTAGACCACCTCTGTCAAAATGTGTTTGGCTTAAGCTGTAATATCCTTAATGATTTGGCCTATTACAGATTTATTATTCAAGCATGTATCTGGTAGTTAGTGTAATAACTTTTCTTTCCATTTCCTTTCTTTTTAGGAACACATTCCTGGCACCTGAGAGCCCCTAGTATGTGACATAGATATCCCAGTGGTGGTGTTTCACAAGTTATGGGGGCCAGGACAGGACGGGGGGGGGGCGCGCATCTAGGTTCTGCAGGGTCCTAAACCCCCTTGTTCCCCTGACACCTCACCAAAATGGGCCTTAAACTGCGGGTCCGGTCTAGTTAATTCCATGCCATTGACAACAATAGGAAGGAAATATAAACGTTTTGGTTTTCTTAACAGGGGAAGGGATCTGCTTCCTAATTCTCACCCTGCACACAGGGATCCAGCAGGACTTTGACCATTCTGGTTGCTCTCCCTTGGAAACTACCAGCAGCAGCAACAACAACAACAACATAAGAGTGCTTTGCCCACCTCCTCTCCAGATTTGCTAATATAAGGGTTATCTCATTTTTCTTTAGCTCTCCTCTCTTCCTTGTAAGGGAGGGACAATTTGAATAATGGTTGGCATATATTTTTCGAAAGGACAGTGGGCATTGAGTTTTATTTTTTTCCAATATTTTTGGTCCCCTTCTAACTTGGAGCATCCTTTGAATTTTTACACTTGGCAAAATTTGAGCTACTTAGTATGCAAAGTGCTTACTGAATCACCATTTAAGTCTAATGTATTGCAGCCAGAGCTTCTCCTAGCCTCTCGACTGAAACAATTTTCTTTCCTCCCTTGCCCTCTTCTTGGGTTTTTTTTTAAACCCAAACAGCATTCTTCCTCTGACTTTACAAACCCAGAAAACATATACAGTATGTAGTAATTCTTAAAAACTCAAAAGCCAGCACATTGCTTTGGGGTTTGTTTTTAAGTTTTTAATTTGGTCCTTATAAAGGTCTGGTGCTGTTGCTATTTGGGGTTTTTTCTAAGAACCAACATAGCTGCCTCCATTTATTTTATTGTCTTAAGTTATTCTAATTGCTTAATTGGTTTTGGCTTGTCTCAACAGAGATTACAAGGTATACAACAGAAAACCCATACTGTTCACAGGTGATGCTTTTGTGGCATAAGACTCACCAATCACCAATCACCACATTTATCCTTACCCAAAATACCTTTTTATATGCAATACTGTATATTAAGTAAGCTATGACTACACACTCCTCCTCCTTATGGAACAGTGAACTGAAACAATGGTGCAAACATTCCGTTTTATTTTATTTTATTGTGAGACTTGAAGCTCTGAATTCAAGCTTTTCCCAACCAAACGAAAAGGGTCTATTCTAGTATATCTCAAACCATCAAAAGCTAAAGGAATTCTTCTGGGTTTTATAAAATAAGGGCAGGTAGTCTTGCATCTCCCAGAGGGTATGGCAGGGGAACTTAAATTGATCATGCCAGGAAATAAGTGGTTAGGATAAATCCCATATATAAATGTTCAGTACATTGATGGCAAAACTCAGAGTTGCCCTACAAGTATCAGCTTGTAAAATAAAAATACAACTTTGCTTTTCCAGTGTGGTGTATATCTAAAGCGGATAAGCTTAAAAATACTGGATAAAATGGCAAATGATGTTAACATAGAGTTGCACTGAGAAGGTAGATTGAGTAAATTTCTGGATTCAGATTTGTAAATTTGGACAATAGCAGTTCTATTGTATTGCTGTTTCTGGATCATTGTTAAATGTTTTGGTTTTTTAATGATGGCAGTTAGTCTTAATGAAATAAATGTATGTGCATTTTTTTATTTAACCTT